CGGCCCGGAATCCTCGAACCTCATTCTGTCTTTTCCCTTCTGACTTCAATACAGGTAACGGAGGCCAAAAGCAATTGTATTTTCGTCAATGTGTTTAACGAAGAATTATCCGAGTTGTATTGATGTTTATCTACAGAAGAGCCGCTAATTCTCTGTCTTCTTTGCTTGTTTACAGAAGAGAAATGGCATCTAAAAAGAAAACAGAAAAAACATGGACTCGTTGCCCCACGTGGGAACCCGGCTGGTGCTTCTACCGTAGTCACCACGTTATTTTGGAATGGCATGGATGAATATGGTAAGCAATTTGGTTATTTTATCGCGCACATAGTCAGTTGTATAGCTTTATATAACCTTGATTCTGGCATACTAGTTATTTGAGATTGTCTAGTCATTTCCTCGTCTGGGACTGACATGGCTTTTTAGTAAATTATGGAATCGGTGAAAATAGGGATTTTTATCTGCAGCTAACGGGATGTGTACTATTTATTACAGTGGAATGAGCTTATATTTCCGGAAAACTGGTTGCGAAATGCACTAAGTGAGGATTTGGCTATTGAGAGGAAACCAAAAAATCCTGGTTTTTCATCAAAGTTGGTCTGAAAGTAGAATTACCGAACCTTTTGCATTCTCATGGCTAAAGATTATATACTAGGGCCCTGCTGTAGCTGTCAAGCCTGATTTCTAGTCTTTCATCTTTCATTATTTGTGCAGACTTTGTGACCCATGTTGGTATTGGGTGTAGTTTGATTCACCCTGAGGTAAAGTATATGGTAAAATTAACCTGAAATGGATAGAATGATATTGAAATAATTCTTGCATTCTGTATCCTTTGCAAGTTGATTATAAGCAAGTTTGGGGTATGTTATCAAGAACGGCACACCCTCCAGACACTAAAGGTCAAATGCTTAAAGAAATTGTGTAACAAATTAGTTCTTGACATCTTTATGCTAGGCTCTTCATGATTGTTTGAAAGACTTAACATAATTTTGCAGCATAATTTTAACATAGTGTTTATATCCTCTATCCTTATTTTGGTATCAGTTGATTTTTTGCAGTAATATTCCTTAGTTGAGGATTACGTGCTTTAAAGAGGATTCCACAATTTCTTTTAATCATACAACCGTAAATCCCAAGACCAGCGTATCGTGCAAACCCAAACACCTAACCTAACCTTTCCTAACATGTATCTATTCTCTAGACAGAGGGGAAAGCCCCCCTGTATCCCTTCTTATTAGCAGTTTGTGACAACTTATAGAAAACAGATATTAAAACTCTGGCAGTGAGGGTGTTGTGGAGTGTCGAGCGGTGATATGCAGCAGACATTTTTGTCATTTCGTGGTAAACATGACGCTGCTTCAGCTTAGAGTAAGAAACAACTTAGTCTATTTCCTGCAGTTTATAAGATAACAATGTTCATTTCCCTTTACCTCCTCCTGTCGCTCTTTATAACTTTAAACCCAAATTGTGAAATTGTAATACTTTGGTATACATTTACGTAATGGTACAAGTTACCGAGAGTGACAGAGAAAATGGACACTGCTGCATTATAAATCCCAAGAAATATAGTAAAAAAAAGCTACAGATGCATCGCACTCATATTTACCGCAAAGATATTTGCTGCATATCCCCGAACACAGCCAAAGTTTGACTTTTATCTTTTTTCTACAAGTTAGTGTGTTAAGTGCAAATAAATGGGGTACAGCAGTGTTTGTCATCCTGTTTAAGGAATTAATAGAAGATAGGAAAGGTGGAATAGTTTGTTCCACTCAGCTATTAGGAGTTAAGGGACCGTCCCTGAGAATGGCCACCTTTCCCTACTCTATACATCATAAAAAAATATCGGTTAGAGATAACTGATTGATTCTTTTTGCATGCTATAGAGCAAAGAATTGCGCTTCGTTATATATATAAATTTTAACTTTGCTCCCATTGGGGGGGGGGGGCACCCCCAAAAAGTTGAAAAAAATCGCCATTTTTTTGTATGTCTTCGGTACATCCCAACTATCAGAGCTCTTTACAGAATATTCCCCCAAAAATGCTAGTGTTAGATCAACTCTAGCCTATAGCCATGTAAAAGCCATGTGAATTTTGTTCCTTTTTTTTTTGGCGGGGGACAGCTTGACATAGAGAACTATTTTTGAATGCGTTTTTCAGCATTAAAATATTATTATTTTTTGATTAAGGCAAAAATTCAAAAATCGGCCTTTTACATGGCTATGGGACGCCGAGGCTCTAGTGAAAGCAACAAACTGCATTTGGATCGCATGAAAATTACGTGAGTTGGGAAGTACCGAAGATTCATAAAAAAATAGCCGAGCTACGGCGTTTTGTATTTGGCACCTTGCCAAAGTTCGTTATCTGTTATTTTTCTCTGAATCTAATGATATTATATATCAAAAAAACGCTTATTTAGTGTACTTTGCAATGCAATGATTACCAAGTCAATAGGAATTTTCATGTTCAATAGGGACGCTATTCTGTAAAGGTATGTCACTTTTTTTTTTTTTTTTTTTTTTCGTTGTTCATTAAAGTTGATATTTCGTGAAAGCTTAATAAATGCATTTTACCATAGAGACAACTAATCTAAACCAGATAAAAAAACCTTTTTTTAAAAAAATTTTTTTTTATTTTCCATTTTATTTTTTTATTTATTTTTTATTTTTGAAGAAATGGGGAACTGTGGATGGCAACATTAGTACAAAATCATTCTAATTATAAAGTCCTGGCATGAATACAACATGGTGGTTCAATTTTGAGAATTTCAAAAGCATATGAATTTAGTACATTGAATTCGAGAACTTACGAAAGTCGTTGAATATTCCCCATGCCTCACACAGGGGGGGGGAGGGGGAGATGGTCACTGGGTGTTTTATAATTTTCGAGGAGGATCATATGTACGTGAACGCACGCACATAAAGTTAAAAAGATTAATCATCATCATTTAGTAGGCCTACATTGACTTTCATATCTAAATAATAAAATTTATTAGTTATCCCTCTCATACCCATTTTCTTTGATAATTGTCAATATTAAGATTGCAAGGAGAACAAGTGTAAAGTTTATGATTAGCCATTTGCACCCATTATCTTTACTAAGAAGTGCATAAAATCATGCAGACGCCTATGTGTTGTGGGATATTTGCCAATTTATGGTGCCTAAGACTTACGGTAACGTCTAAACATATTCATTTTTATCGGGAACGCACGAAACGGATGCGATAGCTTTTTGAACGCCAGACGAAGACTACGCATACAACCGAGCTCAAAATTCCATATAGTTTTTATTTCAGAGCAGGTATTACTGAGTACTATCATCTTCAACATGAAATAATCTGTATCTCGCTTATACATCCGAAGTTTAAAAATCCGACATTTAGGTAACATTCGTATTGAATTGGTCTTTACAACGGTAACTACCAATTTCAAATCAATTCAAATTGCCCCCTGCTGTGATGTACCGACCGTTGAGCGAAATGTAACGGAAATATTTCAATCCTTCCTTATAAGGCTATTTTTAAACATTAGTGCTTCGTATGTGATATACGTATATATTACCACGTAAACTAAAACATATTACCAGGGAGTCTCGATCAAAGCATATTTCGTGTGTAAAAGGACACAAAACATACTTTTTTTTTAGATATATTTCACAAAATATTTCGTCATAAATCACGGTGATATAATTTTTTCCTGATATTGGTATAAAAGTGTTCCTTGAACATTCACGAACTCATATCTATGCGCAATGTCATAATTAAATGCCTTATGCACGATTGCCGCAAGCAAAAGTCCACATAGGTGTACCTGGGCGCTCAATAGCGACGTACCTCTCCGGGTGCTGAGGGACTCGCACGCCGGCTGCAAGACAACGAGCATAGCAGGCGGTTAATACTCGTTTGGTAGTTTCCTCATCCATGTACCTATACTATACGCTAACTAACTCAATTTAACCCCCTCCTCCCCCCTCTCTCAGGGACGGTCCCCTTAACTTTTATTTTTTTTCTACGGGTTAGTGTGTTAAGTGCAAATAAATGGGGTACAGCAGTGTTTGTCATCCTGTTTAAGGAATTAATAGAAGATAGGAAAGGTGGAATAGTTTGTTCCACTCAGCTATTAGAAGGAAAATTTTACCTTTAGTGGACATAATAATAAAAAAGAATTTTCTTATGGGTTTACCTTCACAATTTGATAACAAAGTTGAGGTATTTTAGATAAAAAAAAAAATAGGTTAGGTGTTTGTTTGCATAATACCCTGGTTTTGGGACTCTCTGGTGGGTGTGTCGCTCTTGGTAGCAATTACCAAGGAGGGTACAGGGGGCTTACTTCCCCCCTCCTATCTAGGAATAAGAAGTTAGGGTTAGGTTTAGATATTTAGGTTCATGATACCTTGGTTTTGGGACTTCTGGCTCTTGGTAACAAATACCGAAACAGTATTGATTGTTAGGTTGGATAACTGAAAAAATTAAATTTCATATCAGCCTATTGGCTTTGTTAATTATATATTCCCAATTTTAGTGTGATCATTAGGTAGATGTATGCCAAGTATTTTTGCATGACTTCTAAAATGATTGGCATAGATAAAGGATCACTTTAGGTTTGTTAGTTGGTAATACTTACATTGTTTGAAATAAGTTGGTTTATTTTCAAATGTTTATTCCTATGTGGAAATGTAACCTTTTGCCCTCTTCGCCATACCTGACATCTGCATATGGATGACCAAGTGCCAAAAGTGGGCCAGAAAAATTCTGAATCATAATCAGGTTTTCATCCTGCAAGTCTGCAAGTGATGCCAGATACATTATCCATTTAATAGTAGCACCACACGCTTCAAATATCCATGACCTAATTGTCCTCTGTTTTGCAGAAAGTATGGAAGTTGGAATTATTCCTGGAGTTTGGCAGTTGAGTGAAGTGGAATAACAGCATGTGGCACAGGTAGGTGAAGCAGAACAGTACTAAAGGAGGTAGAGGTTGAAGACCGCGACACGCGTAGAGAGAGGAAAATGGACACCGCCATCTTATAGAGCGGGAAAAATGGAAGGGGATAGCTTATAGTTTAAGATGCACCGGCCTTATAGTCGCCGCTAAATGACGAAAATATAACGCGCAGCCGCCTTTCAAATTCAAAGTCGATGAGCTTGTTTACCTTGCTAGGAAAAACACGACACTGCGTTCACGAACTAGTCCGTGTATCATTAAACGATATTTGGCTAATTATGTGTCTGCTGGTACGCATTTATACCTTAGTCTTTTAGTAATGTTATTATACTTCATTTGCATATTTTTATATTTATCTATACCCTCAAATCGAATCCTGCGCATCGAGTGTTTCACACTTTCTTGTGCCAGCCACAGGTTGACAGCTCACCAACCTGCTCATTTCGAGATTGAAAGCCGGTGAGAAATGTTGCGTTTCCAGTGTTGTGTTGATTCTGGGTTCTTTTTAAGACCTTTACAGTGGCATCAAAGAATAATTAGACTTCAGTAACCATCCCAGTTTTATATCTGAGCCCATCAAGAGCTCCAAAGGACGAAAAAGGTGATTAAAATCGAAGCAATACCAACAGTACAAAGAAACGAAAGTTTCACATTTCCGGATATAAAGGTATTTGGTTTATTATTTTACGGTGTGAATGCATCTGTCTTGCCGTACATACCATGGTGGAGAGAATGTGTCCTGGGGGGTGTTGGGGGCGCTTGCCCCCCATCAACCCTTCCCTCGGGCAGTGCCCAAAGGTCACGCCTAGTCACGGCAATTCATATTAATATATTAGGTTGGCTTATTGGTCAATACGTTTTTGGGGGTTGGAACGTGTGAATTCCCGTAGAGTTTTACAGAAATGTGGGTTGGGTTCCCATAGTTTTTTATTTCGCGTCAGTCCGTAAACTTTCAAAGATGGCGGTTAAATCCGTAGTTTCATTGGCCAATTTTAAGCGCTTTTTGTGCTAGTTTTACGCATTTTTGATCGTTATTCTTATTTAAGCTTGTTTTACCCCATAATTTCCCTGATATACTTCATGCCCTCCCCTGCTAACGGGATTATCAAATCAAGATCGTCGATGGAGAAATGGTACTCGATCTCCTGAACGATTCATTTGCAAAAGAAACAATGCCAAAAATCGATGAAATCATAGGATTTCATGCAGAAAAACATCATTTTTTTCAACTTAATCTCTGCGAGGGTGCGTCGCGGTCTTCAACAATTACCCTAAAGGATTATATAATGCCCATCATTCATTGTCTGGCAACACTACACAATGTAAATTAACTTCTTGGATCTGGTTGTCTCAGTGCTAGCATAAGAACCAAAAGCCAAGCATTAGGCTTAAGCTTACTTGAGCGGCCATCTCCTGAGTATTTGGCCGACATACAAGAACACTTGCGTGGTGTCAAGTTTCCACGCCTCTCCTTTCAATTTTTCTTTTTCTACATTATTTTTATCCCTCCCCCCTCCCCCCCTCAAGTTCTGTTTTAGTATGCTGTATTAGAATAGAAATGTACAGTTTTCCTTGCACAGACTCCTTAGCTAGATAAGTCTACAACTGTGTAATAACAATTAATAATGGTATAATTTTGAGGTTTTGTATTAAATTTCCTATTAGATATCTTGTGCCTTGAGTCGTTCTGTCACCCTGGCCCTCTGCCAAAGTTTACCATGACCCTGACAGACGTGTTGCCTGGATCGAGTGGTTTAACACTTGCCTATGTCTTGGCTAAAATAAGATGACTTCCTATTAGACCAACTTGTTTCCATTTACCCAGAGACATTTGAGATAGTGTTGATTGTATAAATATGGTCATATCAAGTAGCAAAAGGAGACAACCTGCTAGTTGCAGCAACCAGTTAATAGCAGGTATCCATTCTGCCAATATATATGGTGTCATTTTACAAGTCTGTCTGGACAGTGGATAATAGGTAGTACACCTTACAGTAGTATTGTGATCTTAACCTGTGAATTGTACAAGTGTGTGGTGTTTGGCTCTCATTTGTTTCACATCCTTTTAATTTAATATTATGTGAAAGTTTAATTTAGATAGATTTTAGTAGTTAATATAAAAAATTATGAAATGTAACAGTTTGCCCTCTTTGCCATACCTGACATCTGCAAAGATGACCAAGTGCCAAAAGTGGGCCAGAAAAATTCTCTGAATCATAATCAGGTTTTCATTCTGCAAGTCTACAAGTGATGCCAGATACATTATCCATTGAATAGTAGCAGCACACACTTCAAGTGCCCATGATCTAATGTTCAATTACTTTGCAGAATGTGGAAGCTGGAATTACTCCTAATCTGTGACAGTGTGGCTTAACAGCATGTAACACAAGTAGGTGAAGGCTGACCTATCCCAGGTTCGGAGTAGCACTACTGAATAGTTTTTTTTGCATTATCCATCATTCATTGTCACGTATGGATTAACACCAACCTATATCTCGGCTCATATAGTGAGCTTTATTAGACAGCCTTGTCCATCTCCCCTACACTAGGCTAGACACACAATTGGGCCCAGTGCTTTGTTGCAAATGCAGCCATATCCAGCAGCCAATGGAAATGTGAAAATTTTGAAGTATGGGAAACCTATTTACTGTGGTCATGCCTTCAATATGCACAATTGTTCGAAAACAAAAGCTAAAATGAACCTGTAATTTACTCTTGAGGACTGCTGCAATAACCAAAAGAGGGAGCAGCTACTTGGCATGCACAAGCAGACTAACCCTATAGGTTGTACTTTCTCTGGACCATGGCAAAAACGTGATTGCTCTTCATAATTATTCCCCCCCCCCCCCCCCCCATCTCCCATCCAACATACTGTTCATAGGCTAAAATTTTTCCAGGATAAAAAAACATTGGTATTCTAATTCAAGTCTAGGGAAGGGCATTTGGACAGGGGTGACTAGTAGTGCATATCCTTTGAAGTAAACTCCTAAATGTCCGTTTCATTTAAGATTGTAATATCAGGCTTTCATTTACTTCATAATCCTTTCAAGGATTAATTTAGATTGGTATATAATTTAATTTTTAAGTTTTGAAAATTTTCACAATTTGCCCTCTTCGCCATACCTGACATCCACACATGGATGACCAAGTGCCAAAAGTGGGCCAGAAAAAATATCTGAATCATAGCAGATTTTCATTTTGCAAGTCTGCAAGTGATGCCAGATACATTATCTTTGCGACAGTAGTAGCATAGTCATAGTATAGTGTGCAACACCTAATTATATTTAACTTTGCAGAAAATCTGGGAGCTGGAACTGTTCCTTCAGTTTTGGAAAGCAAGTTGTATGGAATAACACCTTGATAGTGCAGGTGGGTGAACATGGATATCTATCATATTAGAGGTAGAGAAACCATATCAAGAATCCAATATCCACTTGTTGCACTATTTGAGTAGGTATAAATTCATAATACTTTAGTTTTGATATTCAGCTTGATATTACTTTGATTTATTTTTTAGCCTTCTAATTTAATCTAAAAGGTTAATATATGTTGGTTTATCCAATTTCTAGATCTACAACTTGTAAACTATTTGCCCTCTTCGCCATACCTGACATCCGCACGTGGATGACCAAGTGCCAAAAGTGGGCGAGAAAAAATATCTGAATCGTCAGGTTTTCATTCTGCAAGCCTGCAAGTGATGCCAGACACATTTTCTTTGGAATAGAAGTAGTATACATATCAAGTGCGCAACACCTAATTACCTTTTAACTTTGCAGAAAATCTGGAAGCTGCAATAGTGTAATGGAATAACATCTTGATAGTACAGGTAGGTAAAGGTGGATGTCTACTCTATTGGGAGTAGATATACAGTACTAAGGATGAAAACTTGAAGGCCTGCAATTCAGATTTCCCCAGACCAATTGCCATATAATGCATTTGTTAAATGTTCATACTTACTGTCATCTATAGTATGAGCATTGCTATATTCATGTCAGTGCTTTATCTCATGACTATAGTTAATGCAAACGTGTAGATGCACGTTATAGAAAAGATTTGAAAGATATTGAATATTTGGGCAATTGGTCAGAACACTTGCATGAACATACCAATCTTATCCAAAGTAATTCTACTTTAGCAGATATTACCTCAGTTTTATCATAATGTGATATTGAAAATCTTAATTTTAATTTATATTAACCCCTTGCTGCTGGCTGGCTTGTAAGTACATCCCATGGATGTTGTGGACCAAATAGCAGATGGGATTGCATCACAACCATTCCTACACTTTTGGCACATTGTACTGAGCTAGTTTTTCTCTGATGGTAGCGTCATTTTTTCTATAGTCAAACTTTTAAGCAGTAGCACCTAAATTTAATCATTCACTTAATTTTTTTGAAAATATGGAAACATATTTCTAAACTACTGAGTGAGCCAGGTGCAAATGGGTAATTGTCAACGAGCGCCACTAGCCAAATTTTTAACATGTTAATGGTTTAAGATATAATTTGATTACTGATTTAACCGTTTGCCCTCTTCGCCATACCTGACATCCGCACGTGGATGACCAAGTGCCAAAAGTGGGCCAGAAAAAATATCTGAATCATCATCGGGTTTTCATTCTGCAAGCCTGCAAGTGATGCTAGATACATTGTGCCATAGAATACTAGTTGCATACATATTTGATGTGCATGACCTAATCTAATCTTTTAACTTTCCAGAAAGTCTGGAGGCTGATATCACCGAGATGCAGTGAAGATATGGAGAAGATTGAATAATTTTGCAAAGGGGATAGTAATGTCTTCGGTGATGTTGGTCTTAGCAGGCATGAAGTACACGTGTTGCCCAGCTTTTCCTTTCATGTATGTTTTTAACACATGGATATAGTAGCACTGCACACCCACAATTTCATGAAATTATTATCAATAACTTTGGCACAAAAAGTAGTCATTGGTGTAGAAAGCCCCCAAGTGACTTTTAAACTTTGAGAGTATGGGAATTCCCTTTTATCCATGGGTACTAGACTCCTAACAGAAATAATCTGGAGTGTATTTAATGTAAAGGTAAAGAATTAATGCAGTGGTACAAGGAAAGTTGTTTTCTAGAACAGCAGAATTGCTATTAAAAAATCTGTTAAATTATATACAGAATTTAAGAGGTTTCTCTTCTTGCACTTGTTATCCACCTTTGGCACTGCTCTATAAACTAGAACGACTCGCTAAGGAAGGTCGTGTATCTAAAATTGACGTGTTCCTTCCCCATATTCCCAGTGCTGTTTCCGTCTTTTTCAATTGTGATAGTCCAGAGAAATTGATTTCATTGATCATAATCCATGGTCTTGCCTCACTCTATAAAGCTGCTCAGATATCTCTGATCTTCAAAATTGCATAGGTTTGGCAATAATTGCTCAGGACTTCAGAAGTTAAGAACAAACCCTGATGACATGTCCATCTCAAAGCTTGCTTCTGTGAGACTTTCGACTGAGTGAACCATGTGCCATAGAAGCTGACCTCTGCATGCTGATAATGAGTACGAAGCACTAATGTTTGAAACTAGCCTTATAAGTAAAGATTGAAATATTTCCGTTATACTCCCCTCAACGGTCGGTACATCACAGCATTAGGAAATTTGATTTGAAATTGGTTGATCCCACTGTAAAGGGCATTTCAGTACGAAGGGTACCTAAAAGTCGGATTTTTGAACTTCGGATGTTTAAGCGAGATACTGATTATTTTATATTGAAGATGACAGTACACAGTAATGCACTGCTGTTCATTTGTTTATGATTATAATTTGCATCACTGGTGAATGTGGGAGCCACATCCTTTTGTTCCCAGGTTGACAAAGGTGTAACAAGCCTGCCTGCCTTTAACCCTTGGAGAGAATGATGTACATTTGCAATATTCAACTCTGAAGTTCAGTGTCCTTGCACTTTCTAGGTTTTGAGTTGTGCATGTCAGTGTCAATCATCACATTAATTGGTTATAGTGCAATCAGAGTAATAGTGTAACACTCGGGGATACTTCATGGCCTTTCTCACACTTCACCATTTTCAGTAGGGATTTCAGTCTTAGCCAATGAAATCAAAACCATAACACTCTTCATTTGCTTGACTAGGCAATAAACTCACTCAGCTGCTGTGATGGTATCTGCTTTGTTTTGAGGTATTTCTGATGCAGATGTGCTTGCCACTGATGAGGTGCTGGGAACTACTACCTCTATTTTTTGCTGTTTTTTTTTTTTTTTTTTTTTAAGTTGTTTCCTCACCTCATGGAAGACCTTTTTACCATTAATTGTTAGTATTGTCAGTGCTTTGGCATTAAACTTGTGACACAAGGCATGAGCAAGATTTTGGTGAAAGGTCGTCATGGTGTCCCAAGCTTTGTTTGATTACACCTTTCTCCATGAGGAGAAAGGCCCCTCACTGCAGTTATCTGCAAATGAGAGAAGGGTGTGAAAATTTTAGCATTTAAAGTGCACTATTTACTGTCAAGGACTGTTTGTATGGAAAACAGTGTTTGGTGATAGCTGTCTGATGCAGCCAAATTCTTTTTTTGCCAAAATTAAGTACTAAGTTCTTTTGAAGGTGGATAGTTAGAACTGACAAGGATATGCTCTTTGCAAGGTTAATTCAGTATGTGAATGTTTTGGTAGCATATGTCTGGAACACTGGTTGTGATGCTGAAATTTGTGGGTAGTGCATTTACTCATTAGCTTTTAAGAAATTTTAGCATGATGTAAAAACCTTTGGAATAAATTGAAATGATAACCTTATTTTTACTTTTCCCATCAAGTCTTGTAATGCAGTAAATTGTTTTAACTTTATACGACTCTAGAAATTAGAACCAACAGACCATTTATTAGAATGGGAGAATGCAACATGGCCATTCAGTCAACCCCATGCCACATTGTGTATGTCATGCCCACTGTTCTAGTAAATTATTTACACCTAGATGGCTCTACAACAGTCACCAATGAGATCAATTACTAGTACTGCCTGTCTTGCTTGGTCTCCCATTTCCTTGATTTTCGAATATTTTTAGGCATCTAATATTGCTGATGATAATGCCAATAACACTATAGTAATTGTCTAGTAAAAATTCAATATTGATAGCATTATTAAGAGATGGAGACTGGAGCCCAATGTAGGGATTACCACTGCCTTGGACTTCAACCCTCGCCTCAACTAATTTTGCTTGTCTTTTCTTCTCCTTTCCTCTTCTGTATCTTCTATACCATTCCTAAGGTGAGAGCCGTGCTGAAAGGATGAAAGGCTAGCTTTCTTTCGGTCATGAACAGCCTTCGGGAGCCATGGGCACAGTATTCCCTTGGTTAATTGCCTAGCCCTTACCCCTTTTGGGGACCCTTGAGGGGTAGACCATTTCTGTTCCCCATTTTATTGAAGCAGAAAGTGCCCCTTCCTCTCTCCCAGTATACTCCTCTCCATCTCTTACTACAGTCCTTTTCAGTGTCTACCCCCTCTTCTCTTATTACTATTCATCATCCTTATTGTCCTCCCCTCCACAGAACTACTCCACACCACCCCATCTTCCTCTCATCCTCATCCTTCTACTGCCTCTACCTCTGCAAACCTTTTGAGTACTTTTTGGCCCAGCCAATTGGGAGCGATTCTTTGATTCCCCCCCCCCACAGCCCCCTATTCTGAGAATACCCTTCTTTTCAACAGTTTCTCCAAAAACAAGTAGGCAAAGTTACCTTTCACAGCCGCTCTGATTGTTCACGCCTTATCAGTTGTCATGCACTATCTACTCTAACTGACCTCGCTGGCAAATCCATTCCTGCCAAACCTCACCCCTCTTAATCCTTGTACTTGTACTTGTATTCTATCCCCCCCAAATGCTTGCCCTATCTACAAGGACTGTAAAAAAACCCCCTTCCTTGCTGACTAGTGCAGTTTATGCTCCCTCAATGCCAGCGTAAGTCCCATGTCAATTGCCAAGATTAGCTTCCGTAGACATGATCTCCCCCATGGAGTTTATATTGGTACAAATTGCCCTGCTCAGTCCTGTACATGTGCCAACTGTGGTGACTCCCATAATGTATTTTATAGGAGCTGCCCTGCCTGTAACTGGAATGTGAGGTAGCAGTTCTCAGATCCAAAATAGGCCTCACTCGACTTGAGGCTAGACAGGAAGCACGACAAGGTTTTTCTTTACCTATTCCAAACTAGTCCTTTGCACTGCATCCCCCCTATCTCCACAATATGTTTCTGCGCCTTCCCCAGTATCCTATCTCTATTCTCCCTGTCCCCTAGTCGAACCCCTTTTCCATTCTAAATCCAGATACTCCAACCTCTACCATGTCTCCGATGCCTACCCTTCCTCCCCCTCACTTTACGTATCGCACCAGACAACTTAAAAAAAAGTTCTATTCCATCTCGCCTTCCACACCCTCTCCTACTCCCATTTTTCCTGCTGCTCCTTGAACATCTTCCCCTTTTCTACTCTTAAGAGATCCTTTGTTTATCAGACCTCCCTACCTAAATCCCCTCCAGAAAGTTGAAGACGTCCAAGAATTCCCTGACATGACCCATGAAAATGTTCTGCTCCCTCATCCACCCTCCAATCCCTCTATTCCTACTCCTATATTCAAAGTATTTGCTGATATCCATCCTCCTTCCCATCAAGTTCCCCTTACCTCTCTTCCTACTACTCTTTCCTAACAAACCCCATCCTCTCCTTCTCCCTGTACACCATTCCCTCTTCGTCTTCCATTATCGTTACCTCCCACCTAGATACTCACATAAATCCCCTCCGTCGCAACAGTGTCCTTTTCCAGATTCCCCCCCACCTGACGCTCTTCCTGATACTTTACCTCCTTCCTCTGTCCCTTTATCTCATCCCCCAGACTGTTCTCCTGCTACTTATCCAACAGCCATCTTTACCCATATTACCCGTTGATTATTTCATAAGTTTTTCATTAAAGTAATGTTATTAGAGCTTCCCTAACAACAGATACACCCCATTCCATCGAATCACCCTATACCCTTAACCCTTATTAACCTTTATTGATCTCCTTGGCCCAGCCAAGTGGGATCAATTCTTTGTGATTTCCCCCACAGCCCCTTAATCTGAGAATACCTTTCTCTTTCAACAATGTCTGCAAAAACAAGTAGGCAAAGTTTTCTTTTGCAGTATTTCTGGTTATTCACACCTTGTCAGTTACATCTGCATCCCAAGCTTGTGTACTATCTACCCAAACTAACCTCACTGACAAACCAATTCCTGCAGACCCTCACCCCTGTACTGGAACTGTTTCCGCCTCCCCAACTGCTTGTCTTATCTATGACAAGAACTGGTCAGATTATGAAAGTGACTTACTTGCCTGCCTTGTTGATTTTGATACACGCTCAGTATCTCTTCCCTCTTCCCTCAAACCATCCTACCTCTACTCCCACTCTCCCCCAGTCAAATTCTTTTTCCAGTGTTAATCCAGATACTCCAATATCTACCACTTCTCGGTACCTACCCCTCCTCCTCGCTTTACTTGTTGTGACAAGCAACCAAATTGTTCCATTTCACCTTCTCCTACCACATCCTCTCCTACACCTTCCTCTTCCTCTGCCCCTCAGATATCTATCCCCACTTCCCCTCACAAGAAAACCTTTATTTCCTAGTCCTCTGCACCCAACTGCCTTCCACCTTCCAGAAACTTGAAGGCATCCCAAGGGAACACTCCACTCCATCATCCACCCTCCAATCCCTCTGTTCCTACTCTACATTTAAAGTATTTACCGATATCCATCCTCGCCTTACTCCTTCCTACTCTCCCAACACATCCCATCCTCTCTACCACTCCTACCTGAATGCTCATGCAAATCCCTTCAACCAGAACAGTGTCCTCCTCCAGACCCCTTCCCTTCTGACACACTTCCTGATACTTCACCACCTTCCCCAGTCCTCTTTTTTCATCCACCGGATTCTTCTCCTTCTCCAACAATGTCCCTGTTCCTTTCCCAGTCACAGATAACATTGCAATTCACTTGATTTCCCTACCCCCTCAACCCTTCCCTTTTTACTAATATCTTCCTTTACTCCCATCTTTTCCCATTTCACTACCATACTATAATGCACTCTAATCATTGATATCTAATACTCCTCCAGATTCTTCTCCTCCTACTTCTCCAACAACCATCTGTTTTCATAATCTTCAACTCTTTTTTACCCTTGTTGCCACCATTTTTTTTTTTCCAGTGCTATATTACCTTTGATGTCTTGTACATTTATTTGTGCCAGCCTTTAACCATAAACCCACAGAAGTAGGATGGTATTGGAAAGATAGAGAGAATGAGTAAATGGGTGATGTAGGAATATGCAAAGTGGAAATTAGATCAACTGAAGGATATTATGTATTTGAGGAAGGAGCAAATGTCCAAGGAGAAAGTGTGGGATTCATAAGAATGCTTAAAGGCCTGTCCGGACAAGTGGGCAGATCTCTTAACAGGCACATATGACAAGTAAACTATCAAATTGTGCAAGTGCCCAATGATTGAAATTATCAGGAAGTGCTTGGTCGCTTAAGCTTTCATTGTATATGGCACCACCTTATGCTAGTAAGATATAAAAAGTGCTTACACTCATTCTTAAATACTATGAAATCTTGCATATGGTTATGTTGTAGTTCCCGATGTGTGGTTTCATAAACATCTTTTATCGAGCCAGTCTCTGCACTTTTTTTTTTCTTTTCACAATGTTTTGTTCTTGGTAGGCGCCATGCTTATGACACACTACTGACCATGTAAAAATTCTTGGAATGGACAGAGCAGGTATCAAGTTGGAGGAAGTAGCAGCAGTTTTCAGTGTCATGATCCAAGGAGAACCAGGGGTTGGGGAACAGGAACTGTTAATGTCTGTAGGGCTAGTTGGTAAGGTCCTGTCCACACAAGCAGGCACAAATAAAGAACTTCATGGATGGACAGACTGCTTGATAAACAAGTAGTTTCCTTGTTTTCTTGCCTGTTGATGTAGCCTTTACAGCTGTCCACTGATCATGCCTGCTTGTGGACAGGCCTTATAAAGGTATAAATTCATTACCGGCCATGGTAACCTTGTATGAGGGGTAAGGGCTAAGATAACTAAATGGGAATACTGAGGCTGTTCAGGACCGATACAAAGTCAGCCTTTTATCCTTTCAACACAGCTCTCACATCTTAGACAGTTGACAGGAGAGGTTGGGGAAGAGAGGAAAAGGAAAGACCATGCATAATTGGTTGGGCTGAGGCCCCATGCAGTGGAAATCCCCAATATTGGGCCTCATTCTCCATCTAAGACCCCACAAAAGCCCTGGGTGTGGGAGATCATCATTGTAATGCAATTATCCCTTGTAATTATATAATTTAGGCTGGGTAGGAACAAATTTCAAGGAAGTATTTCATAATTACAGAAATAGGGTTACTTACATGAAACACCATTTTAATGTATTTTTTATTATGGACCAAATATTTAAATTCCTCTACATAAACACAAGATATCCTGCCCAGCTTTGACTGGATCCATAAACAGAGTTGTGTTTGTATTAGTGTCTAGACCAATCAAGAAGTGGGTAAGAACTGTTGGTTTTCTCTGAATTTGTTCTTAAATAGCATAGTTGTTTCTATCAGTGATAACTGCAATGTGATATTCTATTATTATAAATGTGCATTATCATGACTACACCTGAAATTCAGCAAAATTGCAATGGAACTGTATCATGATGTGTGGTCAAGAGTTCAATAACTAAAAAGGACCCAATAAAAAGGAAAAAACAATC